AAATGCGTAATTATTTTTTTTACAGAAAAAGTAATTTTCCACCTTGATTGAGTAACGCGTCGTAGAATGCAGATACGGGCATGCAAAATACACTTGTGAAAAGCTTGAAGTCTGGCGATTCTAAAAATATATACTTTCCCGGGTCTATTTGTAGTCATTTAGTCACAATTAGAAGATGAAAACAAGTATGCAAATAATAGTCTCGCTACCTTAAGTCATCTGGTAAAAAAGTGAATAAATCAAAAAAGAAAATGGGGAAAAAAAACAAACATTGGGTTGTTATTTTCAGTTGAATCTCTTATTTTTTGCTGGAATTGTTCTATGTATCAAGGCAGTCCAGTGGGGGTGAGGAGGTGATGTCATTGTTGATTACTAGTACTTATTATACATCGACTATATTCATCAAGTTTTGCTGGTTTTCCAGACAGATATCATGATAAATACACCTAGGAATGGTGATATGTCAAAGAATCTAGATCTCTAGAACAAAGTCAAATCAAGCAAGGTTCTTTCACGATTTATGAATAACCTTTGAATTTCATGTAAATAAATGAACAATGTGTTTTACATGTGTTTTGTGCATCACTACGAGTCCAAAACCAAACTGGACATGTTGCTATGACCACCACCCTTTAATAACTGCTATATGATGTATGGGCAAGGTTATTATAGTTGCACTATGTTTTTTTTCTTCTTCACACAGCTTGCTGACAACGATGTGGAGTCTGACCTTCTAATGAATATACCAGAGAGGGAGTATGATGATGACAGTGAAGAAGAACCTGCGAATCCAGTTGAAGTTGTTGCCAGTGCGCCTGAACCTAAGCCAAAAACCAAAAAAGACAAAAAATCGAAACGAGAGAAACCTGATGAAAAAGACAAAAAGAAGAAAAAGAAAAGCAAAACTAAAAAAGATGAACCATTATTGGACATGGATGTAGATATAAAAAATGGTCCCTTTAAAGGAAAAAGCATTGCTTACCATGACGACAGTGATGAAGACATGTTAAATATCTAAATCTGAACTGTTCCTAAGACAACGCGTTATAAACACTGATTTCAATTCTGTGGCTTTTTTATTTATAATCAGAGAGCTGCTAATATCCTTCCTATAAAGGACAATCATGTACTTTAATTTAGCCGGGTTGTTCTGATTAACAGATTTAATACTGGGAATTAAATGCAGTGATGTTCTCCATCACTGGTTCAGTACGTTTTGGCAAACAATACAAAGCTTTAAAGGGAAGTGGTCGTCGTGCCGCGTCCTGTTCGATATGGGACTCATAGCGACGTATACAACGCGTGTAAAATACATTGTTTATTTACATAAAAAACGACCATGCGCTGCACGACTACCACTGCCCTTCAAACACTTAAGGTGGGTAACCAATATAATGACTGTCTGGTACCTGAATCCTTTTTGTTCATTTCTATCTGACTGGGGATAAAAATGTCACAATCTAACCAATATGTTAACTAATCACAATCCTTTTGTTCAATGGTCATATTTCCTCTTATTCTTAAGAGAATAGTGTTGTTATCTTATGAATAGATAATATTTAAGACATACAGAGCACTTGCCACATTTTTTTTTTACTTTTCTTTATAAATATAAACAATTTATCATGGCAACATTTTGAATAATACTAAATACTAGATAAAGGTTCCTGGTGCTATTCTCAGTTTTTGTTTATAATACATGTATATACAAGTCAGATCTAAAATGTTATGATCATGACAAATTTGTTTATTAAATAGGTTTTGGAACACCAGTACTACTTTACTTTGCATGCAAGCATGCTCGTTCTGCTCTCTAGTTTTTCTCAATGTAGATTATGTATATTATGAATGAAATTCTTGATGTAAGCATTTTACATTTTTTTTGGAGAGGGGCGGGGGGTATAAAACTTGGTGAACATAACTATTGATGAAATGCATTGATCAGCGAAATGTAAAATACCAACCTGCCTTGCAAGATGCATGGTTATTTTTTACTTTTACAGGTATACACAATAGCTGCATTTCGAATGACTGACTTTGCGTTAAAAGATGAAAAATAAACAGTTTGTATGATAGTTGGTACTAACAGCTGTTATTTATTTTATCTCATCTCTAGCTATAGACTCTCAGATACGAGTTCTATTTAACATAAAGTTTTCCCTACTATCAAGACTGATTTTGTGTAAAAAAATCCTGAATCAAAGTAGAATCTCCCAACATCAAGTTCAGTCAGCTCACTGACTGACGGGGAAGTCAGTCTTCAAGGCAGAAACAAATGCTGTGTCCCCTTATTTACTTAATTTGTTTATCAAATGTGAATTTAATTTTACCAAATTACAAATTTTATTATAGTAGGACATTTTTCATGATCTGTGCATAACTTTTTGTTGTGTCAATGATGCACACAGAAAATCAACACACCTAGTTGCATTACAGCAAATATGCAAATATGTGTGCGTCAGTGGCACTGCTTAGAGGGCACACTGGTGACATGTACATACTGTTTGCTTATCGGTACATAAAATTGTAACACGCGCTAGTACAACTGACAAATATATTGGCGATGCTTGATACATGTTTGATTTTGTGATCACGAACACGTATTGATTCTTGCATATGTAGAACAACATTAGTCACAGTTTAAAAATAATAATAATAATAATAATAATAATAATAATAATCGAGAAATGTTTTAATAATCAGTTGTACAAATTTGCTTCATGTGAATTCAGCGCAGTTACGGTTGGAAAATAAGATGCTCACAAGAATGCTTTTGTGTGAACCAGCCAGCTGAATGTGCAATAGAAACTCAGTGGTGAGTTTTGTAAATGTGATAATTCATTGGGGCATGTCAAACCATGTTTGTTTGTATTGCATCACTTGTCCCATGTAGTCGCCGGTACATGTAATAAGTGCATTGGGTTTCAGTTCAAGTTCATGCATACATGTATAGCTATGCTATGAACTGCTATGAAAGATGAATTTCCCAAATACTTCATGAAATCATGCATGACTGTGGAATGGTTTGAAGTCTAAGATGGACTAAGATAGTCTATATTATTATAACTAGTAACCGTTCCTTCTGATTTGTCATGAGTGATGTAAAGGGAAATGTACTGCAATCGTACTATCGAGCAGTGAAATCTACATCTGCAGCGACTACACTACTCGTGTGTAAGTGTAGAAACCTATGCCCAGCCAACTATTAACAAGCATTGGATTCTGCAGTGAGCGCAACAAACCCATAGTGAGAAGATTGTTAAGTGTAGGAATGAAGACAATAATAATGTACAGCTAGGATATTGCCAAGTTGTGCATCTATGGAGAATATCTGCCCATTACTCGTGGTATAGTCCAATATCGTATAATTTCAATCAAGGCATCAAACAGACATCAAACAGAACATTTTTTTGGAAATTGACAATGGTGTTTACAGATTACTTTTCTAATGATGTAATTATTCATGGAAATGCTGTTGGTGGGACCGCAAAGAAAATTGCATTAAAGATTCAACACAACCTATCATATAAGTAGTGTAGCAATTGTAGCAGCGTAAATGTACACAGTCCAATCCAGGGAATTGAATTATTCACATTTCATCGCTGATCTCATTGTAGAATAACTAACTTATTTTTTTTCGCTCTCTTGTCATCTGTATATAATTATAGTTTCAAAAACTGGGGGTTTATAGAAAAACAACATAATGCAATTTCTCTGCAATTCATCAATAATAATAGATTTATATTTTGGGATCTTTTTTATACCATTGTCTACTTTTATGGTGTTTAAATACATATGTAAATGAAGAGGGCCAAGGTTGTGTAATTATGTTAATTTGTTTGGTTCATATATATATATATATATCCATGTTACTGTACTTAATGTCTGGGAATAAGTTTATCCTTTTGTTACTGTACCGGTACTTGGCCAGGGAATCTGTGTACTATGAACATGATATTGTTTATTATTTGGTAATAGGGTGCACATTTGCATTCATGTATTTCAAGGAAAAATGAAGATCTATGTGATTATGTTGAGCTCACTTGATATTAAAGAGTGTCTGTAACTTTAATATTTGATATGTCTGTGTTGTTGATATTTTTTATAATGTAAAAGTTGTTACTTTAATGCTCAGTGTGCACATCATAATCTAGTTATGGTTGAAATCTGTAATCACTGACAGATAAAATGTATATTTTAATTGTCCAATGATTTTTTTTTATATTCTCAATATATTTGAGCTGGCTTCTTCCTCATGCATCAACTAAAGTAAAAAGGCATACGTTTTGGTGTATTTTATTGGTACTACGATTGTCAATATGATAATAGTGAACATTTTTTTTTGCCGATGTGATGGTTCATTGTTATTATTCGATTGTAAATTCTTGTGCAAGGGGGTTTGCTTAAAGCGAGGACTCGTCACCTGCGCATGCGTCAGAAGGCCATAGCGTGTCATTGTTTACAAACAAGCGTCTACACATGGACCTTTGCATGTTTAGCATGCATTGTTATCGTCGCTTGGGATCGTCGTGTGCGTCGTCAAGTGATATCAAGCTTCACATGCGAAGAGGGAAGGAATGTAATTTGTATTGTAAACCAAGAATTGTAAATTTTCAGTGTTATAATTCATCAAGAAAATACTGTAATGGTGAGTTGAGTTTTCAAACCTAAAAATAAAATATGCTTTCAATAATTATGCTTATTGATCCTGATTCAGACGCAAACGCACGTTATGGATTGGTGTGTGTACATGAACGTTTGTCTAACCACAGTCCCTCTGTGGTCTGACTGCATCTGTATGGTCATGTATGTATGGTGGGACCGTGGTCTAACTGTATCTCAGACATGCCTGGAACGATCACATTTAAAAACTGCAGGTTACAATCATGATGAAATCAATATTAAAAGATTATGTACACGTATACAACAATACATATAAAGGGAGCAATGAATATTCCAGACGGAGAACATGATAGTGTACTATTGTTATCGTGGGTGGTAGAGCAATTTATTGCACAATGAAATCAATGATAAATAACACTATTTGATATCGTAGTTTTGCTACCTGTTGGTAGTGTATACAGCTTTGGGTCTAGAGACTCTGCACCATCGTATTTTAACAAACCACGTGGGGTTGCAATCAAAATAAGAATGGGAATTAGTGGTTGCTGAAATTAACAACCATAGGGTTCAGATTCGTGACTTCTTCAGATTTATTTCCAAAACCTGCGGACGAAGAGAGATGATTTATAACAGACCGTGGTAATAAACAAATAGTTGTGTGTACAAAACGTCAGTTGATTTTGGTCAGAAAAGGGGGATTACCTCTGTAGATATCAGGTTGACCAATGGTGGATATGTACTGATTACAGATTGGCATATGACAATAAAAAGATAAAGATTACCATATGACAATTGTAGTGAGTGAACTTAACAAATACTCCATCAAAATATTGTATTTATAAACAATATTATAGCACAATTACATATCAGTCAATACTCATTGTGTTTTAATGAAATATAATAGACAATATTTGGTAATCACAGTTTTAACTATTCAACATGACTTGTCGATTATTTTACACGCGTCGTACGATACACAGTATAGCATTTATGTACACGGTTACTCTTTTTTAGTAACCGTGTTATGTAGTAGGAAGGACAAGCAACTCCAGTGATTCTATTGTAACATGGTGAGCTTGAAAAAAGTTTAGCCGATTTAAATTAACTGGATTTCTCGTAAAACGTGTGTTTTTAGATGAGAGTGAACTCTCGCGAAATGCGTGATTTCGTTGACGAGAGTCGGCCAAGGTGTTCTCGAAGTCTTTGCGAATATACTGCAAAATTGCGGTTGTTGAGTTGAGTTCGCGTATCTAGATAATTTGCTTGACGTTTTTTTTTTTTCAGTTTTCGTTGAGGGTGGAAATGATAGTGAAGAAGATTCAAACGCAGTAGACACAACCATTCATGTTAACAAACCTGTGTGTGATTCAGAGTCCGAGAAGCAACATGGACAGTAGAAAAGTTGTGCGTTTTCTTGATCGTCGCGTAAATGAAACCCTTTGGAATAGTGTAGTGTTAGTGATAATAACACAATAAAGAGAATCGTGCCTCATTTAAACAAAAATAATCTAAAACGGATACAAACTTAGACGGGCATTCCGGTTGAATGAGTGAACATGTAGTCAAGGTGACGAAGACAGACGGATTCAAAGTATATTTAAAACAATTATGAGTCAGAACAACTAAAACCTAGCATAGTCGGTGAAAAAATAACATAATAAGATGATTCATGCATCATGAACACAAAAATACTCAAGTACTTTGTCGAAAACGGGATACAAACTGAAAGTAACATTTAACTACCACGACGTTTGGCGAATATGTCCGGAAACTAACTTTCAATTCTATCAATTAAACACGAACAATCATGTGGTCGCCACGCCAAATTCTGTAAATATGTGTTACACAGGTTAACTGTAAAGCTAGTAATTTAGTATGTCTAATAGAATTTGGCAGGTATCCCCTACTTCCTACTAGCATAAAACACTTAATAAATTATTGGCTA